AGTTATCATCATGATCAAGGCGAAGGTGGAAATTCGTTTTCCGCATTGCGTCCTAGACATCGATATTAAGCACAATCAAATGGTACTACTCCTGACTCTCTCTTCCTAACCGTATCAATCATTGAACTTCGTTTCATACGGTTTGTTGTATCATTAGAAATTGGCTTTCTCTTGGTTCTTGGCTTTAAAAGGAACAAGAGCAGCTGGAGAAAAATACTATAGGGAGGGTTACATACATTAGTTGTTCTTACAGCTTGCAACAATTTATATTATTATTTGGTGTATCATTTTAATTTACCGATGGTTTGTATTTGTATCTTGTTTTTTAAACGATTGTTTTTCAGTTTGATCTTTCAATTAACTAAAGAAGGGTTATATTTCTATGATCGAGGTTGTTTTTTTTCTTTGGTCAACAATTTCAAGTGTCAAAATCTTGATAACATTTGAATAATGTGAATAACACTAGATTTAAGTTGATAATCTAGAATCAAAGACTGATTAACAAGAAACTTATGTTTGGATTTAAAGTATAGTTATTTAATATATATGACTGAGTAACTACTGTCGAGTAAAACCCACATGTTATTATACAGAGTAGTATCCCCAAGCCAAATTGCTGCATAATTGATTAGAAGCATCAAAGCATGTTACCAAGCACACTTGTTGGATTTTGGAATCAAAATAAAAACATTAAGATTTCAATGGAAGGGAACAGTAGAACATTAGTTTAATGTAAATAAAAGAGTTAAAATATCAGAGTATTTAATACACCAAAATATTCAAAATCGTTGCTTTTCTTCACTTAATCTTCAAGCATCTACTGATTCTTCTTTATATATGTTTCTTCAACTTCAAGTTTTGTATAATTCCTCAGGCAATTTTCCTCCGTTTAAGATCCCTGAAAGAAAGAAAGAAAGGTTCCTTAACAAAGTTGATGATTAGAGACTTAATTAAAGTGAATGTGTACAAACTAACTAACCTATCCATAGGCAAATCTTTTTCAGAGTTCTTTTCCAGCCACTTAACGCATCCAGTGTTAGCCGGAAGTAGCGATCCAGCTATATGCATTACCTCTTCATCAAAACTGCACAACGATTTTGAATCAAATTACCGATAATTCAAACTTTGCACGAATGTAATCGTAAACACCAACTCTTAAGCATTCAAGCAGACCGGGATTGTCATCAACTGTTTAACAAATACTATTGTAATAGACGAGAAGCTAAGAGACTCTCACCTCTGGACTTGAAGGCGTAACGTTGTTCCAATCTTTAGTTTATGCCCTTTATGCGATCTGCTCACAAAACAACCTTCACCATCTCTCTGAATAGAAACAACGATTTTAACAAATAAGATCCAAAGGAATACAAGTACATTCATCTAAGACTATATCAATCATACACAAATTACCATTTTGTACTTGAATTCTTCGCGGATATCAAAATCCGTTATAACCGCAGCAGAAAAACCAAGAACAACAACATGTATTGACTCTGGAGAAAGCTTCACAATTTTCCCTTCTGCACAAATCATTAACCAAACCGGTATTTGCTTCAAACACAAACTCACTAGCAAGAGTAACCGACATATATGCATATATTCGAAGAGACGAATGCAAGATTGAAATGAGATCTTCTTACCTACAAGACTATTGGGTTTTGGATCAAATAAGAGTAGTTGTGCTTTTACTCTGACACCAAAGTAAGGATTAAGCCCTGCAAGGATCTTAGCTTGTTTGCTTTTCACAGCAGCATCATAAGCCAATAAAACACCATCAAAGGTTTCACTATACCTTCAAAAACAAAGATTGATAACTCAAAATCATAAGGAAATCAAGAAAGCTAAAATAATTGGATAAAGTCTTATCATTCAAAGAGAATGAAACTCAAAATCTTCCCAATAAACTATAAAAGTCTGCTTAAACCTAAAGTAATGTATTTGGTTCTTGTAAAAGCCAATAGGAATCTACAAAGTCAAATATCACAACCTATTTCACTAAATTTTAGGTTTCTA